AAGACTCTAACTCTACCCACTGTTGACCATGTTACACTTTTTGGATGTTCAGTCTGCAGCTCTCCTTTGTCAGGGACTCTAACTAGGTATGAGATTCACTAACAGTCTCGGTGTCTGGTCACGGTGACAATCAGGGGCATCTGCAGTTCCCAGACAAACAAGGCTTTTCAGTCACCTCCTCTCTCTAATGTGGCAGGTTGATCTATCTTAACATCCTCCCACAGGACTGGAGGTCACTAGAAACTGTGAATTGAACCCATCACGCTCTCACAGGCCCAATTGTAGTCTAGCTACAAGGCCTCCCACTGTGGATTCATCTGTGAACAGAATCTCCTCTACTCTACTCCTTTGAGCCTCTTGGAGATCTGTTTCCTCTTCCAGTGAAGCCTTTGCAAGGTGTTTTGTTCATGGTTCACAGCTACAATATCTCTAACTAGGATGACTGTGTGTGTATCGTGTGTGTGTGTGTGTGTGTGTGTGTGTGTGTGTTTGTGTGTGTGTGTGTGTGTATAAGACAAAAGAAACCACAGTCTGTGCATTGTACTTTGTCTTCTAGTATTAGGGTGGGAATGAGGGTTTTTTTCTTACAGGATGTGTGGTTCATACTGTGTGTGAGGAGGCCCAAGCATGCCTGTTTCTAACACGTGTCTGGGGTTTCCTTGCCTGCTAAAGATAAAGAACCTCCATTGATAATTTTACTTAGAGGTCTCTTAGAACAAAACAAGAGCCGTAGATGGGAGAATCTCCACTGAACCTGGATCGAGGTGGCCTAGGGTCAAAACAGTGGCAGAAACAGGAGAGATCTAGTTAGTGCCAAGGAGAAAGGCAGCTAACCAACCCTTAAAGTTGCTCTTCCAGAGGACCTGTGTTCAATTTTCAGCACCTACATGGTGGTTCAAACTGTCTGTAACTCCAGTTGTAGGGGGTTAGATGTCTCCAGTCTTCTGCCAAGAATGCTGAACATGGTACAACATACCTGTGTGCAGGCAAAACACCAGAAACACATAATAAGAGTACACACTAGAGATGAATACTCATCAAATAATAACATGTCTTTAAACAGAGAAAGAAGAACTTACTACTATAAACATGGAAACACGTATTCTTTTTTCTTGATGGTTCCTCAACCCTGGGGGCAGGGAATGTGATATAGATGTCCCATTTGTCAAATCTTTGTTGTCAGTTGCAGACATAATTCAACCTTATCTTTTGATTGGAGGTAGAATGTTTAGCTAGGAGGTAGTATTCTATCAGATGGTAAGACACCAAAATTTCTCTGGGTATCTGTAAATGTAACTGTGTCATCATCACAGAGTTTGAAAGCGGCTTCATTTCATGCATACGATCTTGACCCTCTCAGTCCTCTGTTGGTAAATACCTTTGAGCTAGCTCCAGCAACTGGGATATACTTACTAATTTTTTGTAACTTTTATAACTTTTCTAATATCTAGGGGCCTAATGGGTGATGAAATCATTTTTGCTATTGTCTTTACTCTTTATATAATTATGTATTGAATATAGTTTAAAGTCTCCATGGTCAGGAGGGAAAGTCCATTTTGTCCAGGCTGCAGTGTCTGGCAGGGATCCCCGTGTCACACCCTGGGGTTGTTTTCTTTCTTTCTTTCTTTCTTTCCTCTTTTTCAGAGAATGGTTGGTTTTGTGTTTTCCAAATATGTGGACCATTTGTTGACAAGAAGACATGAATCTTAAAGAGAAAGGACTGGAACTTTCTCTTTTCCTTTGGGTTCAGTCAGGGGAACTTTTCTCCTTCCCGGGGCTGCTTAGAACAGACATGGAGAGCAGGGAGAGCTCACACAGGGAACTATTTCCCCCTCTCCATGTGCTTTCCACTTTCATTGAATAGGGGCCTGGATAAGAAGACTGGTCTCTCCTCACCTCCACACAGAGACCAGCCCTGACCATGAGCAGGAGTCAAGCAGTCCATCAAGCATGTGCTCCAGTCAGGGAGTGGGGCAGGTGGAGGGTTCTTGTTGTGTTTGTTTGTTCCTCTCTGGGTGACTTGGCAGAACCAAAAAAGATTTGGGTCCCTTACAGAGGAGCACAGGTCTTAAACCAGCCTGTTCTCACACCAGAGAATGTTTCTCTAATAGAACTTTCTTTGTTTGTTTGTTTAATAGCCCTGGCTGTTCTAGGCCTGACTCTGAGGATCAGGGTGGTTTTCATCTCAGAGACTGCCTGCCTCTGCCTCTGGAGACATGGGATTAAATGCTAGCCTATTTAGAGGAGGTGTGGCCTTGTTAGAGGAGGTGTGACATTGTTGGAGGAGGTGTGGCCTTGTGAGAGGAGGTGTGGCCTAGTAAGAGGAGGTGTGGCCTGGATGGAGGAGGTGTGTAGTTGTGGTGGACTTTGAGCTTTAAAAAGCCCACTACAGGCCCAGTCTCACTCTCTGTGTGTCTCCAGCTGGTGAGTCCCATGCAAGGTCTCAACCACTGCTCATCCACTGTGCCTGCCCACTACAACACTCCCCACTGTGATGGTCTTTTCTAAAACTGCACTTAGGCCCCCAGTAGATCGTTCATTTTATAAGTTGTATTGATCCGTGTGTTAATCAGAGCAAGAGAACAGTAACTAGACAGAAGTCTTCCAACATTGATCTTCTGTCTGCACGCATGCATATTTAAACATATGTAAACATGTACACATGTGCAATAGAAGCACAAATGACTAATTAGTATTTACAGGCAATTCAACATACATTGTATTAAAAAAAACTCAAAATAAATCACCTTACAATAAAATCACACAGCGCCATATCTGGCTACGTTACAGGAATTCTAGGAATCTACTCTGAGTCCTCCAAACCTTTACAAATCAGCTGTGTCCTCACTCTTTGGACACAGGACTTTTAGTATTCAGCAAGCAGCCAGGATTTTCTGGAGACAATGCCCATGTGCTCCAGGGGTGGCTTGCAGGAGCCTAGTCAGAGGCTGGTCTATACTGCATGAAATAGAAAACCCAGAACTTCTAAAGCTGGTACTGAAGGGCATGTGTAAAAAGTCTCTGAGAAGTCCATGTGCCAAAGAGGATGTGATATGAAATGTGTCCACTCTGTTCATAGAGGAGCATGGAGGACTCTTGCTTGTCATACATGGAAAGGATGCCCAGGGAGAAGGTCATGAGCCTCTGCAGATGTCCAGGGAGGAAAACTACACATGGCCAGGCTTCGGGATGGCCGATGATATTGCTGAAATGAGCTGCCAGTACACATGGCAGAAAAATCCTGATGTAATAGACCAAGTGGAGTGGGCGTGGAACAATATCATGGAGGGACGATGGTTCAGATGATATGTAAGGTGTGTGAAACCCAGGCTCTGACCTCAGGGTAGGGTGCGGACCCAAAGTGACCCAACATGTAGATTCTTCTGGCAAAGCTATGGTCAGCCAGTCACATGTCAGATCATGATGACTTCACCTCTGTGTGTGTATTTCAATTAATTTATTTATGGTCATACATGTGTAGATGAGGGGTTAAGTATAGGAAAATGGAAAACTGAAGAGTGGCTACACCATTGATAAAAAATTGTCTCCCCTCCATCAGCAGTTATTGGAGTTATACACCCAGGGATCCCTGGACTCTCATTAGCCCCTCTCCCTGCATGAACGGAAAGTGGATAGGTCTGCTGAGCAGGGACCATGCAAATTCTCAGAGCTGCTGAGAGGTCCATAATGCGACAGCGATGGATGACTGCAAGACAGCGTTTCATATCAACCCACCCTTCTTATCCTTACATCCTTTCTCTTCCCTTCTGTGACGTGGTTCCTCACTCTTGGATGGATTGATATACATGTTTGGCCCAATAAATGCCTTTGCTCCATGCTTTGGGCTCATCCTCCTGGAATAACATTTTGGTGTCCATGTGGGGGAACTCTGTTCTCTCTGCTTGTGGTAGTTGTTGGAGCAGTCCATGGGCAGTTGAAGATTTCTCTCTGGGGAGAATTGCCAGTGAGATCCAAAGGCTGGCAGGATGTAATTTGGACTGCCTCTATTTGTATTAGGTCAGGATATAAGCTAATGAGCAAATTCAGACTTCTTTGCAAGGGTTTAGGGATAAGTTGTTGTCAATTATGAGCTGTCTTATGGTGAAAGAGTGAACTCATTTCAGGAGGCCCAAACATTCTGTAAGAATCTTCTCATCTCTCTCATTTCCCTATTTACAGTTGTTATTCTACAGCATGGGAGGGAAAGGATGCCTGGCTGACAGCATTTGTGTCTGTCATTTTCACTTATGGACAGACATACTGATGGAAGGGCCTGTGGGTTATCAGGTTTTTGCTCTCTGCAGGATGGTGAGTCCCCTTTCCCTCCAGTTAGGGTTTTTGTGGCTATGATGAAACACCATGACCAAAAACAAACTAGGGATGAAATGCTAGCTTCGTCATGTTGATATAAAACTAGCCAGAACAATGGAAGCCTTGTCAACTTGACACAAAAACACTTTCCTTTCTATGTAACACTTTTCCTTTCTTACTTATCCCGAAGATGGCATGACAATATTAATATCTCACTAAAAATGACTGAAAATGTCCAATGGTCTTTACCAATTCAAACACTTTAAAACTTCAGTCTCTCTACAAAATCTAAAATCTTTTTAAAAATTGAAATCCTCTTTCAAATTCAAAGTCTTTAACTGTGGGCTTCTGTAAACATAAAATTAAATACTTTTTCATTTCCAGAGGGAAGCACTAGGCGAACATCACAATCTGAACAAAGCAAAATCAAGTCAGTATTCAATGTTTGGAATCCACTCATGATCGTTTAGAATCTTCCGACTGGTTTGAGTCTCTTCTCTAGCTCTGCCCCCACAGTATGTATGTACAACTTGTCTTCTAGATTTCAGGATTGGGGTTTGCTGTCTTTGATTTGATGCTTCTGTTCTCCACCTCCAGGGAGATCCTATGTGATATGTTTACATGACAAAAAAATCCCATCCTCACAGGATTTAACTTTAATTGGCTGATAAGTAAGCAAGGGACTAGGCTTAGTTCAAATTTCTTTTAATTCAGAGGATACAAACAAATCTCCTACACTGGAGTATTTTAAATAAGTAAAGAAAAAAGTAAATACCAGCATTATACCAGCATAACATAGATGAAGAGAAACAAGTACATTTAAATTATAAGAGTTAGTGACAAGTGAGTGTAACATAAGTCTCAGCATCTATAACTAATAATTAGTCTCCATGTCATGCTTTGGATGCTGGTTGGTGTCCAGCACAGATGGTTTTGAAATGTTCTCATGCTCATGTATCTAACTGATTTTGATATGTATATAAGCGATGTCTTTGACTTTTAGGAATAAGGCATTGATCTGACTTTGCCTTCTGACTTTGCTAGACATGTCTATGTTTACAGAAGATGCCCAGGCATCAACTTGATGCTTTAAAAATGGAGTCACCTTGAGGAAGACCCAGGATGAAAGCCATCATTTTACACAACAAGGAGTAACCTAGAGCAGGGAATAATCTGATCTCCTCATTGTCACAGTCTAAGAGTGAGAAAGGGGACAGGAATAAAGCGAGATAGAGTTACTGGTGACAATGACCTGTGACATCTTCATGAAGACACAGAGGAGGCATGGAGACAGTCAACTTAAATATTTCACACCGCATTTGATCAGAAGTGGAATGGCAGATTGCCAACATCGTCTATCTTCCTGGCTGTGATGCAGAAGAGGAGGAGCAGCGGCAGCTGGAGACAGTGAGTGTAGATCAGACTCCAGATGAGGACTTTGGGAAGCATTGCGGAGAAGCACCTGGTAACAAAAGGGGGTCAGTTAGAGTGGGCACCTGCACATCTGCAGCCCACTCTACTCCATTTCAGATGGGCGATCTCCCCACTTCACAGACGTGCATTCATCGTGTGTGTGTGTGTGTGTGTGTGTGTGTGTGTGTGTGCGTGTGTGTGTGTGTGTGTTTACTTCAGACCATTTTGGCATTTTTTCCTTGAGATGGAAATGAGGTTTTGACATATATTTAAAAAGAGACTGAATAAAATCAAAAGTGGTCAGCCAAATATCTACATTTCTGAGTCAGCTGCCTTTTATTTTTACTTTTAATGTGATTTTGCGGTTTTTTAGAGACATGTCTTGACCAAGCTTGCTTGGATCTTCCCTTGTACGCAAGCGTTTACCTCAGCTTTCAAGTGCTGTGATCACAAGTGTGTGCAATCCTACACAGAGTTCACAGTTTATAAAACAAACAAAAAAACAAAAAACAAAACCCAAACAAAAACAAATGTCTTGAATACTTACCTAACAGGGAAGACATCACCATAATGTTAGTGTTATTCCCAGGTTGAGGTTCCCCCATTACAATTGGGGTGTGCTGACCCCTGCGATTTTTCCAAATTCGGGAAACTTGGGTGAAAGATGTGGAATTCAATCTTTCTCCTAAGGAAAAAAAATACTTATCTTGAAATCATTGTACCTACTCAAATACTAAAAAAGCAAAATAAAACACAGGGCTTAGTATTACCTAATATTAGATGTAAATCTTTTTTACTAAGCATGCTTATAGAGGATGTTTTGCAATAATAATAGAAAATCAGCATCATGGCCATCTTCATCACATTTCTGTGTGCTTGCTCTAGACTGCATATGGCAAAATCTAACAATGATGGTGAGGAAGATGAAATTTGCTTTCCTTTTGTAAACAGTTGGCTCAATTCCAAAGGACACTAAGATTAGCATTGAAGTTCTATGTGCACTGAAATCTAGCAAAGTAATCTGTCAAATTAGATAGGTTCTTTTTTTATCATTTTTTGGGGGTCTGGATTCACTGTTTGGATCCTGGATTCATCAGGATCTCACTTGCAGTTCAAGTCAGCCTTGAACTTGGTGATCCTTTTGCCTCAGCCTCCTGAGTGCTGGAATTACAGGTATGACCTTCACTGCCACCTCTTCAATAAACTTTGTTAATTCTGTTTTTGTCTCACAGACTACCATAAACATACTGCTACTAATGCGTGGAGTATGAGGCAGGAATATTATTTGGTGCCATTATCCAATAAGCTTTTTATCAAGACTTGAATTCATATAGAGTAATAATGATGATGGTAATGATATAAATGATAACAATAATTTGTCATCTTCTTTCTTTTTTCCTTCCTTCTTTTTTTGAGATTGGGTCTCCTCTTGTAGCTGGAACTGACTTTAAACTCACTACACAATCAAAGATGGCCTTTTAATCCTGATCCCCTGGCTCCACTTCCCCAGTGCTGGGATCCTAGCTCTAACTCCCCATGTTCATGTATTGCTATACCAGGAAGTGACAACAATTGGCACTGATAGCATTTTGGCTAGAGCATATAGTGTTACACTGGAAACATTGGAGCAAGGAACAGAGTCTTGTGGGTGTTTTAATGCTACCATCAGACATAAATTCTAAGTTCAAGGAGTCTGCATTCTGAAAGTTTCTATATGCTCCCCCTCTAGGTCTGCAGTCCTGCTGCTCACACACCCATGTTCTTAGGTAAAGAAAAGTGCACTTTGAATGCTTGAGGACAAAGTAGGGAAACTGAGTTGAGAGATGTCTTTATTAAGATCTTGGGCGTCTCCCTGATGAAGAGAACTGTGGAGCAGTGTCTCTATGGTCACCCTGCTGTGCCATAGCACACCACAGGGTATGCCAACTCCTTGTCCTAGGGTCACTGAAATGTCTCTGTGGGAAAAGAGCTTTTGGTACAGACGTGATAACCTAAGCTGAATCTCTGGAACAAGAAGGACAGATGGAAGAACCAACTCCACAAAGTCTTGTTCTTTTGCTGTGACATGAACAGGTTCAACACAAGAGAACTTTACAAGAGCAATTGCAATGCCCGGGCACACACTAGCACAGGACCTCATGCTATCTACATGGGACACTTCCTGAGCCTAAGATGTCATGAGCCTCACCAGGTGCCAATGGTCTTCTTGTTCCTCGCTTCCTCTTCACGGTCATGGGGACGCCAAAAATGACTGGTTTAATGATGCTTTGGACGATACATCTTTCCTTACATGGAGTCTGAGTGGTAGCTGCAAGCTGTGTAGCATCTTGAGGTTGTGATTCTGACTGGGGAGCAGTAATTTTACGTTTCTGTCTACAGTTGTATCTCATTGCATCCTTTAGGCAGGGCAGGTGCAATACATGCCACTCTCCATGCTAATCTATAGTCCCTTTAGATGTTGCTTGTGTCCAGGTGTTTAGTGAGTCAGCACAGTCAGCTTGTGGTTTCTGTAAGTCAGTCTCGACTCTGTACCGAAGAGTTTGATCACAGAGACTAATCCCACCAAACCTCTGTGAATACACTCCGGCCTCACTTTCTCTTTAAATAAAAATGTCAGTAGCCACTCAACTACACCCTGCATGGAGGGAGGTGAGCAGGAAAGAGTAAAATGGGGATTCTAATGAGTGTGTGAAAATCACTTTACATGGAGTGAGTACATGGCAAGTGTCATGGTGGTGGCACAGGCAAGTGGGGCATTCGGGAGCTTGTTTCCTTCAGTTCCTGGTGTCTGAGCAGAAGACATTGTAGGGAAATGGCAGCCAGACTGTGAAAGGTCAGTGTTGGAGGGATGGGAAGATGACTCAGTGGTTAAGGCCCTGCTATGCTAGCATGAAGACCAGAATTCACTCCCTGATACCCAGTGGGACACCTGTTACAAGTCCTCAGCAGACTAACCCTGCGAAAAACCAGAATGAGACCACAGCTCCCTTCTTACCTTCTTGGGGATGACATTTCTTCTTCAAATATTTGAAAGTGCAAATGCCAATGCCAATGCCACTGCCAATAACAATAGCAACAACAATAGCAATAACAAAGAGGATGATGGGGATGGCTACTGCCATGGATTCTCTGTTATCACGAAGCTGCCTGATAGGTGGAAGCTGGGTGGTGTTCATGGCACATGGATGCTGTGTGGCAGATGCAATCTCTCTGATGTTTGGGGTTCTTGATGTTGGTCCTTTAAAAAAATCAGAGAAATTTTGGATAAAGTTTCAAACACACCTCCATCAGCACCTCCTCTCCCCAGACAGCCTGAGGAACTCAGGTGTAATAACTGTTTTTACAATTCCTGAGCAGAGTTTTCTGTAAGATGTCCTTGAGGTATACTTAATTACCAAAGAAAGCAAATGTCTACTAAACCATCAAACAATGTGACATATTTACTGTGGTGAGAACTTTCTGGATGTTGGCTCAATTGTTGTTTAATTGCACCAGAGAAAGATACTGAAGCCTTTCCAAGTGATGTGGACCTGGAGGAAGGGCAGCTCTGAGTGAGGAAGGAAAGGCTGGACGTTTACAGTGATACTCACAGACTTGGGCCATTAACAGGCCATGCAGTGCCTGACCATTGGGTAAATGGAAACCAGAAACATTGGGAGGTGAGATGGGAAAGAGAAATTCCTGTGGTTTTCAGTGGCTCTCAAGAGAAGAAGACAACCAAGAAACCACGAATTCAGTCTACTGAATCTTCCATTATGCACACATGTTGACATCTACACAGGGAAGTCACCAGACTTTTCAAGAGAATTGCCATGCCTTCCCGACCCTCTGGAGGTTTCCTTGTGGTAATCTACCTAACTACTTACTTGGCATTTCCTTCTGGTGCTTTAAGAATTCCTCAAGGCAGTGTCTGGAATCTCCCATGGAGAGCATTGCTAGATCTTGTGCTAGTTCTGCATTATTCTCCCAATTATCTAGGATACCTGTGGCGTTATAGTTAATCACTTCCCATTTCTTGTTGTTTTGATTATAGTGAACATAGCAGAAGGAATGCTGTCCATCAATGGTGAAGTTCCAGGAGGCATCAATGCGTTGTCCTTGTTTATATTGAGATACCATGGTGCCCTCCATGGCGTGATGGCCTGCACATGAGACACAAAATGGTCATCTCCTCCCTTTATAGCGCCATCACCCCCTCAGTGGTCAAGTCTTCCTCTGCACCCTCAGTACCTGTTTTCTTTCATCCAGACTTATCATTTCTTACCCATTGGGTACCAAGTCCTTCCAGCCTGGAGCAGGATTTAGCTCTTTCATGCTAATACAACCGCAGCCCCCTTCCCACGTGGGCTCTGTCCTTCCTGTCTCTTATTGATACCCTCTCTCCTTGCATCCTGTTCCTTACTTACCCCTGGTCAGCACTGCCTCCTTTTCCATGTGGAGTAGCTGCTTCCTCAAGTCTTCTCCAGTGTCTTTTAGTTTTGGGTACAAACCTCCACATGTCTTAGCATCATTTACCACCTTTCCTCCGCTACTATGGTGAAGTAAAGTCACTCCATCTGCCGTGCAATGTACTTCCCAACCTTCCTCTCTGTCTGTGGGATGAGACTTGATACTGAAGTCGCACCTGAGATAGTGTGTGCCTGTGAGAGACATGTGACTGTGAGGTACGAAGGAATTGTGGTTCTGTGACATCTAGATTCATCCTCACTGGCAAAAGGGCAGGGAGTAAAGGCCTCTAGTCATCACCACAGTGGCGTGGGAGTCAAGGCCTCCAGTCAAGGTGTGCTTGGACCCTCATTTCTGTGCTGTCTTTACTGTCTTATGTTGGTAGGACCACTGAGATACACAGTGTCACCAGGAGGTTTTATCTCACAGGTATCTTTAGTGACTCTTATCTAGTGTTGAGGACTAACATATATCAGATAGTATCTGTGTTCCTGGTACTGAAATTCTACTGAATACACAGGGAAAGGGGCATCATAGGACACCTGGTGAACTCAGCAGGAGCCTGCGTGTTCAGGAGAGATTCCTGGAGTAAGGTTGCACTTGTCATGGAAAGGGGAGCTGCACCTGTAAACACCGTGCTCACCCGTGTCCCCGTGTCCCCAATGGGCCCCTCTCACAACACTGTTGGGCATCAGATCTCAGATTTTCCCAGTTAATCCACAGTCCTGACTCAATCTCAGGAAGAGGTCTCTGTCTGTAACCTGCTTGAAGCTCCAATCTCTCCTGTTCCTCAGGCAGGTGTCTCTCAGCACACCTATGGCCCCTGGTCTCCTGACTTTCACTAATAGCAAAGAAGACTGTCCTGGTCAGCAGACTGCACCAACAAACAGGTGGGACCTAATATATATATATACACTCCTGTGTGTGAGCACTAAAATATAAAATAAATAATAATTTTAAAGAACGTTTTCAAGTTTGCTATGTAATTACACTATAAAATGAAAAAGACATGTTAAAAAACAACCTCCTTCGCCAAAACTTCTTTTATGCACTAGACTGCTGGAGGTTGGGGACCTCCTTTCCTGTCCCCTTCCACCAGCTTCCTGTTCCCCCCACTGGAACACCTGACCCAAATGTGACTTCCTAGGACAGATCAGGTCTCAACAAAGCGACCATGCGGTCCAGCACGGACGCCGTCATTCTTTCTACACTGTTTCATCACTGCACTGTCACTCCTGAATGAACCCTAGATGCTACTGTGATTTGAATGAGTCTGTCCTCTATAGAATAGTATCTCTGGATACTTCATCCCCATTTGGTGGGGATGTTTGAATGGATTTAGAAGGTATGGCCTGGAAGTATTCACTGGGGATTTGGATTTGAAACCCGTTCCCATTTCTTCCTCTCTGGACCTTGCTTGAGGTTTAAGATGTGATCTCTCAGCTGGGCTTGGTATCCCATGGCTCTCAACCCAGCACTTGTGAGGCAGAGGAAGGCAGATCTTCATGTGTTTGTGTCTATTCTGCTCTACATAATGATTTCTAGGACAGCCAGAACTATATGGTGAGACTTTATCTCAAAATTCCAAACCAGCTGGGTGGTAGTGACACACTCCTTTAAGTCCGCTCTGGGCAATAGAGGGAGTTTCCAGGATGAGCCTGGACTGTTTCACAAAGGAACCCTGTCTCAACAAACAAACAAACAAAATGTAGTTCATGAGGAGGTGTGCTACACACACACACACACACACACACATACACACACACACCACAAAAATCAAACAACAACAAAAACCCCAAACCAAACTAGAAATATGTGGGCTCCAAAGTTGCTGCTCCAGCCACCATGCCCTCCTGCCGTCACGCCTCTCAGCCCAGAGGTGATGGACACTTGTCCCTCGGAAACAGAAGTTCACCAAACCCTTCCTTCTCTGTGGCCATGGTGTTTTATTGCACCAATGGAAAAGCAACTAATACCACTAGTATATAAGTATCAGAGTCTTCAGAGGACAGACTGTCACTAGTATATAAGTATCAGAGTCTTCAGAGGACAGACTGTCACTAGTATATAAGTATCAGAGTCTTCAGAGGACAGACTGTCACTAGTATATAAGTATCAGAGTCTTCAGAGGACAGACTGTCACTAGTATATAAGTATCAGAGTCTTCAGAGGACAGACTGTCACTAGTATATAAGTATCAGAGTCTTCAGAGGACAGACTGTCACTAGTATATAAGTATCAGAGTCTTCAGAGGATAGACTGTCGCTGTTAAGTCTGTTCATCTCTGCACTTGAGGCTTGCATCAGAGACAATCCATCCACAAAGAGCATGGCTAGACCTGCCTCCAGGGCCCTGTGACCCAGGACAATCTGTCATCCTCAGACATCAGCTCTCGAAATGTCCCTGGTTGGAGTTCACAGCAGTGTCTCCCTGGGGAACCATCTTGCTTGGCCAGGAGCAGGTCTGAAACACCTATAACGGGGAACTGTACTCTGTTTCATTGTGGCTCCTGGCCTGGTACTGGGCCCTGACAGAGAGAGAGCAGCCTGTGGTCCAGGGCTATCAGAAGTTCCATCAGGCCTCAGGGAGACCTCACAGACAGGTGTCAGTCAGACAAGATGTCCAGAAGTGAGACACCACCGCAGGGACATGACGAGTCCCTTGTGTGTTGGAAGCTGCCTAGCAGGGAGAGACAAGGACTCTTGTCTGACAGAACATCTCCTGTTCCCCAGAGGATTGTGGAGATACTATCTCACCTAGAGAAATTTTGCTGAAATTAGTTCTCATGTAAGGTACTAACTCTCACTCAGCAAGCAGCCCAGACTTCAAGGAATCCACTGGACAGCAGTGAAGAGATGAAGAGGTCCTAAACCCAGGACTTCCCCAGTCATTTCTAGCTGACCCAGAAGTCACAGGCAGCATTGAACCCACTGCACACTGGGAAACCTGCATCTTAGGCATTACATTTGAAGACACTCTGGGGGGAGGGTCCCCAATCCTGGGGCATGGGATACACCGGAATCTGGGTCAGAAGAATGGACAGAGCACAGATCTGCTGACACATTCGTGAGCTTGTTGCCTTCTGCATCTGTCATACTGAATGCAGACCTGAGTTTTCAATGCAGGACATATACGGTGAGGCTAGGTTGAAAATATTTAGTTCCTGCCACTTACAGAAAGCACAAACCCTGTTTCCTACATGAACATAAGTATCTGATGCTATCTCCCCAGAATGTAGACTATATAAATTTGGGAGCCAGGGAAGCTTTCAAATCCCCTACCTAGGACCATTGTCAGAGTTAGGCATGAACACAGATTGCCCCCGGTGGACGAGAGCGTAAATGCACTTGATTAATGGGGACTTGGGGAAGGCTAGACACACCAATTGGAAAGGGTTATAAGACATCTGAAGATTTAAATGGAGATGGAAATATCTTGTGGTACAATCTGTAATCCCAGAACTTGGAATACTGAGGGAGAGAAGGGATTGTTGCAGATTCTAGAGTGTGGGCTGTAGCGCGAAATCCTACCTTAAAATAAAACAACTACAGAACGAAAGGAGGAAAAGAGAAAAGAGAAAAGAGGGGGAAAAAAGTTCGAAGTTTCTTGGTTGTGGCTGCCTGTGGCGTTGTTGTCTCCGGAAGCGTGTATTGTGATCTGGAGAATACCGTGAGACGGTGGGAAAAAATAAAATCCAAGGACAAAGAGGTCCCAGATAGTGGAGGGCTTGTGAGAAATGGCTGGGGAGTGCAGAGACCAGCATGCTCTGGGCCCAGGGAGATGTCTGAAACTGCCTCCCAGAGGGGTCTGCACTGGTGACTCGGTTTAGGCTTGGGGTGATCCCTGTGGTTCTGAGAGCCTCGGTAGCTCCTCCCTCTTGCTACCCTGTCCTCCTGTTCATGTAGCCCTTCCCGGCCCTGGGACAGTAACTTTCCCCTAACTTTGTCAGTTCACTGAAGACCACGGGGGAGGATCGCGGGGAGGATCAGGGAGCCCAGACTTAAGTCCCCATGATAGAGAAGAGAAGCCGAGGAGGAGCCTCCTGTGGGGGACTGGGACCTTCCTGACTCAGTAGCCCGATGCTCCCCTGCCCAACCTCCTCTGGTTGAGTCCCGGCAACTCACCAGCCTTCAGCGAAGTTCCCACACCGCTTGGTAGAAAGAAAAGGATGCAGATTGGGAGCAGATAGAGTCCGGGGGCCACAGCCTTTGCCATGACTGCTTCCTGAGATCCGGCTACCGCCGGCTGTGGCTGGATTTGCAGAGAGAATCGGGCAGTCCTCATTCCCGCCCCGCAGAAGCCTCTGGGGAGAGCTTTGCGAAAGTTCCGGGCACCTGGGCCTCCCGATTAATTCAGGCCCCCGGTGCTCCAGTCGGGCGCGTTCCTAGTTCCTCTTTTCTCCCACATCTCTTCAGAGATCCCCCAGAGCCTTGCAGCTCTGATTCTCCTTTCAGTCTGCGATTTCCTTCAGAGACTGGCACAGGGAGCACGTGACCTGAACTGAGACTTGAGGGCTCTGTAGGTCAGGGCTCTCAAGTCTCATAGTCCTGTCACCTTACTCACCTCCAGCTGCGCCCTAGGGGACTGTCAGTGACAGAATTAGGAAAGATAGAGGACAGTAGAGTCTGCCCTGATGATGGTTGCCTGCAGAAGGCACCGGAATTTGCCCAAGCCCGCCCACATCAGCCTTTCTTGCACCACCCAAGAGGCTGCCCTAAACTTTGCTTTAGCCTTGTCCCCTGTTTACCCTGATTCACACACTCTCAGTCTCCCTCTAGACACTCTCTCTGGCTTCCCTGGGACCTGCAGCCTGCGATCCCTGACTTCCCCTTCCTCTCCTCCATTCCAGACTCATTTGTCCCTCAAGGTCCCTTCCCCATCACTGTCTAAATGTCCTGCACCCTCAAGTTCCTGTCCCTCTGCTTTCCCCTGTCTCCCCTCCTCTAATCCCCCCAGCAACTCTCCCTTCCCCTCCATTTCCTTCCTTTTGCTCTCTCCCTGTTTAAGACAATTGTTGTCTGTGCAGAGGGAAGTCTACTTTTCTCCTTAACTCTGAAGCTGGAACTTAAGACTTTCAGTAAAGTTATACGGTCACAAAACTTCTTCGAATGAAGGGCAGCTCCTGGGGCCTGGAGAGAGGACTCAGAGGGTAAGAGCACCCACTGCTCTTTTGGGTGACCCAGGTTGGATTTCTGGCACCTTCTGTAAGTGCAGTTCCAGGGGACTTATGTAGGCTCCTGGCCTCCGTGGGCACTGCACACAAATGGTGCAGAGAAACACACACAGATAAAGCCCTCAGACACATGAGATTAAAATGAATGCTTTTTCGTTTTGAGCCTACCCTTCAATGGCTGAGCCATCTCCTGCCTTTAATCCCAGCACTTGGGAGGCAGAGGCAGGCAGATCTCTGTGAGTTCAAAGCCAGCATGGTCTACAGAGTGAGCTCCAGGACAGGCTCCAAAGCAATACAGAGAAACCCTGTCTTTAAAAATAAAAAATACCAAAGAGATGTAAAATATAAAATGTTGAGAGACATAAAAAGATAATTTGATAATGCAAATTATAATAGAAAATGAATTAGGTACAAACTTTTTGGACTCAACAAGATAAGATAGATTTTGGGGTATTTTCTCTGAATTTTGTCAAATGTAAATGGGCTAGACATTGCTGGTGTACTTCTTGCCTGCATATATTGTATATAGTTTTTGTACTTATTGTATATAGTTTTTCTTATATTACTTACAGCCTTTTTATCAGACAGAAACAGGGAAATGTGGTGATATTTGGTTTATGATCTGATAAATAAAGCTGGCCTGAAGATCAGAGCTCTTTTCCACTAGGTTATTAGGTGGATAGGTCACAGTCAGACTTGATGTCCAGAAGTGAGATATCAATGCAGGGACCCAATGATTCCCTTGTGTGTGTGTTCAGAGCTGCCTAGCAGGGAGAGACAAGGGTTTCCTTTGTTTTTGTTGTTGTTGTTCTTTTGAAACAGGATTTCTCTGTGTAGCTTTGGAGCCTGTCCTGGAACTAGCTCTTGTAGACCAGGTTGGTCCCAAACTCACAGATATCCTCCTGCCTCTGCCCCCCTCAATGTTGGGATAAAGGCCATCACCATCACCACCTCGCTGAGACAAGGACTCTTGTCTGACAGAAATCTCCTGGTTGTGCAAATCTCAGCTTAGAGGAAGGGAAGATGGTTTCCCCTCTCTCTTAGCAAGCATCTCCCACTCAGGAATGTTCTTATTCCAGGGGACTGCAGAGAACAATGGGCACAAACACCAGACACCTCCTATCATCTCTGACTCAGAAGCCTCAGACAGCACAGGACACATTCCTGACTGTTTAGCACACAGCTTTGGCATCACTTGGAGAGAGGGCTCAGGGGAATGGGTACCAATACTGGGATACAGGATGCAACCTAACCAGGGGTCAGAAGACTAGTACAGAGGCCAAACCTGGTCTCCTGTTGAACCCCAATCTACTGAGCTGGTTTCACTCTGAAAGTGGGATGGAGTGTTTGTTAGGGAGCCAGAGTGATGTCAAGTTGTAAATATTGTTATGTGCTCTTTAATAAAAGCTATGCAGTGTCCTCCAAAATAAACACCACTTCCTGCTACAGTCTCCCCAGGAGCTGCCTGGGATGGCCTGTGTGATTTACACGTTGCCCATATACCCAACTTAGGTTCTAGGGGTGAGGGTGGATGGATTCCTAGGGTGTGTCCTCAGGCACAGGTATGCAGCGTCAGCTGGTTGAGGGGTGACAAGGGACCTCCCTCGGTGTGGGGAAAGGGACTGTAAGGGTGGTGACCTGGGTGCTGGTTGAGTCATGAAGTGTACAGTGAGGCTGTGGGTGGAGACCTCTGGGAAGGCTGCTGGAGGGAACTGGTGCAAGCTGGGAACCTGGATTATACAGTGTACTCGGGGTGGGGGTGGGGGTGCGGCAGAATGAGGAGGATAAATGAAGAATTGAAGAGGGGACTGGTGTGACTCCTGATCCTGGGAGAATCTATGGCTTTAGAGTCAGTGGCTGTGGGTGAGTCATACTCAACTTGCATTTTCTCTAGTCCTGTCTCACCGTCCTGCTGTAACTTTGTTTTTTCCTGAAACTTCTCAGCTCTTCTGAGAGCCTCTGAGGGAGAGAGGGTGGGGTCTGGACTGCAAAGTTGTGTAGAAGGAGCCCTATGGGGTTGGGGGATGAGGGTGGGGGGCCGAGGAGGGCCAAGGGTCGTGCCCTCTCTGTCCCCTCAAGCCCCGTTGTTGAATCACCAAAACCCATGGGCTGCTACAGTGGGAGCAGAGTCAGAGTGCAATTAATGAGCTTGGTAATCAGGGCAGCTCCAAGTGTTTTTTTCTCTAACCCACAAGGCAGATGTGAAGGGTGCTGTGAATAGACGGTAACTTCCTGAAGATGAGATTTATAGAAATTTCAGAGCAGACAGTTCCGGTGTTGTGTTTCATACTCCTTCACTTTTTCTCTTAGAGGTTTAATGGTTACATCAGCTTCCAGGAGAGGCTCCAGGTTCTTTCTCTGAGTTCTGGGCAGAAGCTGAGCAGCCTGGGCTCTGTGACCCTGGTATCCCCAGTTCTCCCTCTCCTCGGGGCCCCTTTCCACACAAGCCAGCTGCATTCTTGGAGCAGGCAGAAAGTCAAGGAATCAAGTCGGTGCTTTGGGCCCCTGCAGCAGCCACTTCCTGTGTCCAGAGAGGAAGTGCCAGGGACTCCCTGTGGGGCTTCTTCACTCCCTGAGTTCCTGTCCCAGGTCCCCAAGCTTTGCTGGCCTTACCTCCCACTCTCCCGCACCACTGCCCTCTCCTCCCCTCTGTCCTGTCCTACCCTCACTTCTAGAGCCCATCCAGGTCCTTTCCTTCTTTTGAGGCCCAGCTGTGCGGGCCCCTGCTCTGCTGACAAACCTCAACCTCTCACTGGCTGCTCCCTTCTTTCCCCCTTTACCTTCCCCCTGTAACCCCTCACCCTCACCCCTTTTCTCTCCCCCAGGCCATCCTCACCCCTGCTTGACCTTAGGCAGGCTGTGGTGTTGTCTACTGACCTGTCCTTTACCCCACTCTCATCCCTGTCTCCACCTCCTGGGTTTTACCCTCTTAGCTCTCTCTTCCTGCTCAAACCTCAGCTTCACCTCACCCTCACTACCTTAGATCCCTTCTCCTCTTCCCCACTCCCCTGCTACACGCGCTACCCCATCCCCAGGATTCCCTTGTCCCAGCCATGCCCTTGCCACTTCTGACTGGCTTCACGTGTCTCCTCCCTTAGTGTTGCTGAGTCTGACACACCTCTGCCTGGATTCCAACCTCAGCCCTCAGCCCATCCTCTGCATTGACCCCCCCCCCAGCAGCCTGTCTTCCCTTTGGTCCTCCTCATCTTCCTCATCATCCCCCTCCCCATTCCTGTTTCTTCACTGCCTCCCCTCCACACCTCCCTCCCAACTCTCCCTCCTAATAAACACTCCTTTCCGCTTCCCCTTGGAAATCACTCTGTCCTTCTCCCATCCAGGCTCCTCTCTGACCCCCATCATTCTTCCCATTATATCCCTGTCCCAAGTTTCTTCTTACTCCCTGCAGTCCCCTATCCCGAACACTCCTGACCTTCTGTAACCTGCCTGGTAGAAATGTGGATATTCCTGCCTTTAATCTCAGCAGTGAAGAGACAGAGGCAGGAGGATATATATGAGTTCAAGGCCAGCCAGATCTACAAATTCAATTTCAAGCCAGCCAGGGCTACACTGTGAGACTCCGTCTCAAAAAACCCAAAAGTACAAACTAAACAAAAACAAAGAAAATGAAACAAAATAGAAAGAATGAAATAAAGAAATGAAGATGTCTTGTGTCTCTCAGTCTGTCAGATTATGGGAATAATGGACACCAAGGAAACCAGGATTTCCCAAGGAATCTCATGCTGGGGAAGGAAAAGGCTCCAGCCAGAAGGGCATCTTGTGTCCTGGGAAGAGATGTCCCACAGTTCTAACAACCTGTCAGACCACTTTTCAGGCCAAGGGTGGGACTGAGCCTAGGTCACAGGAGGGCAGGACCACAGATGACTGGGCCACTTGGAGGCACTAGCTTGGCTTTCTTTTTGGACCACTGGGATGCACTAGCTTTGGCTTCTTTTTGAACCATATCTTACTGCAGCACCTCAAGACACTTGGGTGTTCACTTCATCCCTTCGTTCCTCCTTCCAGTGTCGCACGATTGACAAACTGACTTCATTCACAGCCTCCACCCAGGAGACTGAGACATTCACAGTCTCCACCCAGGAGACTGAGACAGACAGGGTCTGAGAGACCCGCCGTCCTCACAGAGCCCATTATTCCTTGCTTTGGGCTTCCTTAGTCCCTACAGATGCACAATGGTGCAAGTGTCATCAGTGTGTTACTGGCTTTGAAGACATGATTGACAGCCTGGTGTACATAGAAAATTCCAGTTCACACAGGACCATATCACAACAACAACAACAAAACCAATCACAGTACATGAGACATACACTTTCTTCACATCCTTGAGATAGTTATGTTTTAGTAGCCACTAATGCATATGAGATGCCTATTTCACTGTTACCTTATGTTACATTTTCTAGTACTAAATATTGGTGAATGTTTTCATAGGATTATTAGTCATTTGCATATCATGTAAGATAAATATCCTTCCAAGTGCTTTTCTCATATTTCAGTTGCTTTTGTTGCTTCATGTTGTTCACAGAGGTCTCATGAGATAAAGGCAATATATTATGGCAAAAGGATATGCTCCGCAACAACGTGTCAGCCATGAGCATCTATTCAGAGCTCCTGAATGAAGCAAATGTTTACAAAGGAAGGCAAAAGTCCACAGCAACATGGTAATTGAGATTTTTAACTCCTTGCCTTCATCATTCTTATTTATTTAGTTTAGTTTCTTGAGATAGCTCACGGCTGGCCTTTAACTCACAGAGATCCAACTTCCTCTGCCTTCCTAGTGCTGGGAATAAAGGTGTGTGCCCCACACCTGGCTGGATTCCTCACTTTTGTTTGTTTTTTTTTTTTTTTTTTGGTTTTACGAGACAGGCTTTCTCTGTTTTGGAGGCTGTCGGTCCAGCCTGGCCTCGAACTCACAGAGATCCGCCTGCCTCTGCCTCCTGAGTGCTGGGATTAAAGGCGTGCACCACCAACGCCCGGCTGGATTCCTTACTTTTAATAATGGAAAAACAGACATCAGTAGAAACAGGGTTTGGATCTGTACTGTAGACCATTTAGATCCCAAACTATGCATACAAAAATACAACATTTATTATTTTCAAGTATCCTTAGACTATTTCCCAGGATAGACCTTGCTAAATATGAAATGCTTAATTAAAATTAACATTAATACAACATAAAGTATCTTCTCCAAATACAAAGGGACCAAACCAGAAACTTGAAGAAAATAGAAAAATCAATAAGGGCATAAAAATTAAACATGATATTTTTTTGTTTTGTCATTTCTGCCACGCAACTACATAGGCTGGTTTGTCACAGAATGACAAGCCCATCCAAGAACCTCTAGGAACTGGTACTGTGGCACTGCTGAGGGGGAGGGGCTATGGCCCAGGAAGAGCATTTGAGTAGCACTCATGGGGACCTGGAAGGAGAGGAAAGGAGAGCCCTTTCTTTCTGGAGCAGCAGATGTACTCAATGATGGTCTGTGAGTTCTCAGTTAGCATTTGAAGTAGTTTTAATTTTTTATTATAAAACCATTTTTAAATTTAAATATAACTTGATCACATTCTTCCCCTCCCCCAGGTTTGTTCAGATCCTCCCCTTCTACTTACTCATCCAAAAGTTCTTTCTGAAAAAACAACCCAAAACCCCAATACAACTACAAATGCCAAAAACCTAGGAAACAAATACAACATCAATCATCCAAAAAGACAAAACAGCAACAAGCCCCCCAAAGCACCGAACTGTAACCAAATAAAAACACACACACACACACACACACACACACACACACACACACACACACACACACACACACCCATTACTTGCTGGTCAGCTACTCCAGAACATATGATCTGCCCTGCAGTGCTATTGACATCCAGTGTGATTTCCACTGTAGAAAACAAGTCTTCCCTGTCCCAGCAGGTATAAATGACAGTTCTGCTGTTAACCTTTATCATAGTGGCTGGATTTATACTCATTCATTCATTCATTCAAAGAGACTATCAGAAGATAAAACCAAAACTATCACGTTGAAGTAAGATAACACCCAGAAGGGAAAGAGCCCAGGAGAGGGCGTAAGAGAGATAAATTTGCTCACATGGCTAGGAGTCCTATACAAACACTACATCTGAAGTCATAATATAAGCCCAGGGGACCTGGTGCTGACACCTGCAGGCCCCTGCATGCTGCTTCGGTCCCTGGGGGTTGCTATGAGCTTCACTCATGCTGATGCTGATGTGGGGGCCTTGTTTGCTTCCTGTCCTCCCCCTGTCCCCCCCTCTCCTCCACTCTTTCTGTCTCCTCTTTCAAAGGGGTTCCTGAGCTCTGAGAGGATGGATTTGTTGGAGATATCCAGATTAGTGCTGAGTGCTCCAAGGTCTCTCACTCTCTGCATAATGACTGGCTGTGTGTCTGTATATTATACAAGGCATTTTAAACAGTATTTTTATCATTTGAGATTGTTATGCCTGCAAACATGTGTCTGGACCATACTTATGGCCAACACTCTCCCCTCACTCCTTAGAGATCCACCCTCACCACATCCCAACCTGCGTCTTCGTAGAAAAAAATTATTTTAAGGAACGATGAGAAACAGCTCAGTGGTAAGATCCCTGCTCTTCCAGAGGACCTGGGTTCAATTCTCAGCACCTGCATGGTGGCTCAAACTGTCTGTAACTCCAGTTCTAGGGGATCAGATGTCTCCAGTCTTCTGCCAGCAGTGCATGGACATAGTGTACACACCTGGGTGCAGGCAGAGCATCCATAAGCATACCATAAGAGTAAACATTAAAGTGAATTATATAAAATAATGATGAATCTTCAAAGAAAGAAAAACTCACCACTATAAACACTGAATCAGGCATTCCTTCTTCTTGATGGTTTCTGAGCAGGGAATGTGACATAGATGTCCCATTTGCAGAATCTTTCTTGTCAATCTGAGACATAATTCAACTTTATGTTTTGATTGGAGGCAGAACTTTCACCTGCGAGATATTCTAACAGAAGATAAGACACCAACATTTTGCTGGGTGTCTGAAAATTAATTGTGTCATCCTCAGAGAAGGTGATGGTGGCTTCAGCTTGTGTAAAAGGTCTTGTCTCAATCAGGTCTCTGTTGTCGAATACCTTTGAGATAACTCCAGCAACTGGGACCTCCTTATACTTTTAATTATTTTTAAGTTCATAATGTTTTTCTAATATATGGCTTCGACTTGGTGATGAAATAATTGTAACTTTTATCCTTAATCTTCCTACAATTATGTATTGAAATTTGTCTAAAGTCTCCTTGGTCTGTGTGGGTCAGAAGAGAAAATCCATTCTGCCCAGGCTGCAGTATCTGGCAGTGATCTTCCTGCCAGGCCTGGGGGCCATTTTCTTTTTTCTTTTCCCAGAGAATGACAGGTAATGAGTTTTCCAAACATATTGACCATTTGTTGAAAGGAGGATATAAGTCATGAAGAGAAAGGAGTAGAACATTCCTTTTCTTTCTGAGTCAGCTCAGTAGAACTTTTTCCCTCCCCTGGGCTGCTTGCAACAGACATGGTGAGCAGGAAGAGCTCTCCCAGGGAACTATTTCCCGTCCCTGTGTGCACTCCACTCAGATGACAGAGGGCTTGGATGAGAAGCCTGGCCTCTCCTCACTTCCACACAGAGACCAACCCTGACCATGAGCAGGAGTCAAACAATGAACCAAGCATGTGCTCCAGTCAGGGAGTGGGACAGGTGGAGGAGGGGTTTTGGTTCTGTTGTTTGTTTCTCTCTGGAGGTCCCAACAGGAAGGGCCCAGGTCATAAGCCAGGATGATCTCACACCAAGAAACCCTTATTCAATGGAGAGAGGGAGAAATTACAGAAACAGACAGACAGAATTACACACACACAAAGAGAGAGAGAGAGAGAGAGAGAGAGAGAGAGAGAGAGAGAGAGAGAGAGAGAGAGAGAGAGAGAGAGAGAAAACAAGCAACACCGGACCAGTGGCCTTGTCCAAAGAGAGGGCACCTTAACCACACTGTCCCCCAGACTTGATAGACCAGGCGACTTTCTGATTTGTTTCCTTTTGGGGTGGAGACATCAGGCTCCTGTGAAGCACTAGGCAGCAACTGATCAAAGGGAGCCCTGGGGACCTGGAACTCAGATTGCACACACCCTAGGATAGTGGTTCTCAACCCCCCTTAATGCTGAGATTCTATAATGTAGTTCCTCATATGGTGTTATTCCCCAACCATGAAATTATTTGTTCCTCCTTTATAACTGTAATTCTGCTCCTGTTATGAATTGTAATGTAAATATCTGATATGAAGGGCATCTGGTGTGTGACCCCTTTGAAAGGACACTTCTACCCCCAAAGGGTTGAGACCCACAGCCCTAGGGCCTCCTTGACCATCACATTCCTCCCTGCTCCAAGGGGCTCTGATACCTCTGGTGTCTTCAGGTCTTGCTGTACTATTCCTGTGGGACTTCCAGAAATGTTGTGGGGTATTCACCAGAGAAAACCTTTCAGTCATGGATTTAAGTCAATAGAAACTCTTTATTAGCTGGTCAGCAACTGCACCGGCAGTTTGGGATCCCAGTGCAAGCCTTAATCAGGCAGAGCTTTTAAGCACAAAAACCCATGCTGTTGGTGAACAAATTTCAATTGACAAGAAGAGTTAACCCGAAGTGCAACTCCAGAAGCTGAAAAGCAAGGTTAGCACATTCAGAGACTTGCCCTTAACCATAGACTTCGATGGACTAGACCTTTGTTTTAGCTTTGCAAGGAGGTGCTGTCTATGTGCTGAGTTTTACAGCCTGAATGTCACTTCCATCATAGAGTTAGTTGGGCTAGGGTCTGAGGCCCTGTTACAGTTATCAGTGGTTTCTATGAAACAATCTCCATTTTTTATGACTAGTTGTTATAAGTTTCCTTTGGTGACGCCTAAGATATTCGATTATTGCCATTTATATACACAGGAGTAATATCTTCACACTCTCACTAAGGAGATCTGGGTATCCCGTTCCCTAGGCTAGGGATGGGTACATGATCATGTTCTTCTCCAGATCTCTAGTTCAAGTTGTTCCATGCAGGGCAAACCCACCAGGGAGAACCAAGGAAACAGAACAAGGAGATAAGACAGGGCCCGAGTGACTGGCACAGTGTGAAAGAACATGGAATCCGTGTCAGCGGCATCAAGGTTCATCTGGTTGAGGCTGAGGAGAAGGGAGAGGGGCTGCACCAGATGAACTCTCACAGCATTCACTGGAGCTTCTTCACCCTGCAGCAGGGAAACACGTTTTGAAGGGGCTGAGGGAAGCCTGGGTCAGTTCTCCTGGGTGCCCTGGACCTGTCGTCACCACCCCACAGCCTCTGTCACTGAGGGTCATTCCAGTCCCTCCTCCATCCCCCTGCGCCCTCCCTCCCTGGATCCTGTACAGTCTCCCCCCTCCTTTCCCATGTCCCAGAGGCAGCCTAGGCTGTGCTGCAGACCTGGGGTTCAGAATGAAGGGGCAGTGACCAGCTCTGCTTCCTGACGCAGGGCCTGATGGGAGGGGCTGCAGGAGCAGGAGGACCTCTATCCAGAAAGGGTTCTGGGACCTGGTTATCCAGTCCTCGAGTGGGGACCCAGACATGCTTTCCCTTTCATTCTAAAACTCTCAAATCTGAGAGTGGCATCACAACTGTGTGACTGTCCCTGCTCCACCTTGTCCACCTGGGCAGTCCAGATGGGAGCATAGACCCCAGCCCCAGCTCAGTCCCTCCAGCCTCCAGTGGGGACACTGCTCCAGGTGTCTGGAAGTGGCTGCTGCTGAATTCATTTCTGTCTTATGTGTGTGAGTGTGAGCCTGCACGTCTATAAGTGGCTGTGCGAATGCCTGGTGTCTCTGGAGAGGAAAGGGCAGGATCCCCTGGACCTTGAACTGTATGGCTGTGAGCTGCCATGTGGTGCTGGGAATAGAACCTGTGTCTGATGCAAGAGCAGCTTGCCACTGGACCATGTCTTTGTTTATGTTCTTTATCTGTGTCTGTGGGACGGAATCTTCTTCCACCTACATATTAAGAGGAACCACCATTTCCTTTTGTGTTCTTGCGGTCTCCCCATCTGTATCATGGGACTCCCTGATTAGCAGCATGCTGTGTTTAGGTACATGTATTCCCTCTCATTCTGTGCTGCTCTATGATGTGATTCCTGATTAGTCAAGGCTGAGCACGCACAAGCTAATGCTAGCAGGTGGCATGAACTCCAGATCTCCCGCCTCCTTTCTCAATAAGATGCTGCCATTTAGGAACAAGAGTAGGACCATAGGAATTGTTTCCTCACTCCTCACCCACCTGTCCCTCTCCCCACTACCAACACTGCCCTCAGTACCTGTCATTGCCAAGGATTCTCCTCAGTTAAGCAGCAGGAGGGAACAGGTGAGGATTATCAGCAGGCCAGAGATGCTGGGCTTGATGGCCAGTGACAAATTCTGCTGGTTCACAACTTTCACACCATTTGGTGAGGCTGAATTGGAAACACAAGTAGAGTCTTTGACCAGACCTCAAGTCTGAGGTAATATCATCTTAGCTTCTGGGTCCTCAGGTGATTCAGCAACACACAGAGTTCCTCCCTTGTTGCTATGCAACTACTGTTTAGCTCGGTCCTGAGTAGGAAGGGAGGGGAGGTCCCTGACCTCAAAAGTCCCATGCAGCCATGTTAGGGGAAGCAGGGTAATGGTGGACACTCTTATTCCCTCTGGAAGGACAGGAGGCATGAGGAAGAATGACCAGTGAGGATTGTGTCAGGGAAGGGGGAAGACCAGGCAAGATGAAAAGGACAGTGATTCTAAAATGAGGAAACAGACAGGAAGTAAATAGATGTTCAGTTTGTGACAGCCATTGAGAACCACAGTGAGTGAAAAATGTAAACACACAACTAATGAGACAGGAGAGAGAGAGAGAGATGAAATGATTGATGAAAAAAATGGCCATCATCCCAAGAACTCATGGTATTTGAATTGAATTATTATATCACACACACACGCACACACACACACACACACACACACACACACACACATACACACACACACACAGTGGAATAATCCTCTTGTACACTGTAAATATTTGACTGGAATTGGTTTAGTAAAAACTGATTGGCCAGGCAGGAAAAATTGGTGGGGCAAAGACAGTAAGGTAATAGGAAGGAGAAGGGTAGAGTGAGGAGTTGCCAGCAGATGCAGAGGAAGCAAGATGACAATATTGTACTGAGAAGAGGTCCCAAGCCGTGTGGCTAAACATAGTAAAGAATTATGGGTTGGCTTACGTGTAAGAGCTAGTTAGTAGTAGATATGAGCTATCGGCAAAACATTTGGGAAGCAGCTGCTGGGTATTTGGGAGTTGCTGTTAGGACAGTAATTTCTGCACGCACACACCCTCATTTGCAGAGAGCTTCCTCTCCTCCCCAGTTACCTATAGGCTCCAGCTTTTCTTCCCTGTGTGACTTGAACTCCTCAAGCCATGACCTGCAGTCTCCTCGTGAAGTCATATAGAAGAAGTCTGTCACATCCCTGCTGGCGAATCCTTTCTCAGCTGCTTCAGCCCCAAATAAACACACAGAGATGGTATATTAATTATTAAACTGTTGGCCGATGGCTAGGTCTTCTTATTGGCTATCTCTCTCTTAATTATTAACCCATAACTTCTAATCTATGTATTTCTACATGGCCTTATCTCACCAGAGAACACCTGGCATGTCCTATCTTCCCAGTCGATACATGGGGTATCTCAGAGTCTTCTCTCTGCCTGCTCCCCAGAATTCCCCTTCCTCGCATAGCCCCACCTATCTTACTACCTGGCTTTTCTGGCTATTGGGCAAACAGTGTTTTATTCATCAACCAACGAGAGTGTTGTATACAGAAGAACATCCCCCATCACATGTCTATCTTTCTCCCACATCTCATTAATTTATCTGGATGCAGAATCACCTTTAGTCAGTTTCCCAGTGCTTGAGTCAAAGTGCAGCATTTTGTGTCCATTGAGGCCAATGTCCCAGGATGCTTTGAAATGTCCATCGCCTTCATGCCAACAACACATCTTGGCCTGTAGACTGAGGGGCTCTGTGCCCATTGGAAAGAGATCAGTCTCTGACATTGATGAACCCTGTCTGTCTACCTACCCCCTTCCCTTTCCAGCCTCTGACCTTGCTCTACCCTCTACATTTTAGCCTTGCCGCTGGACCTCTTAGGCGTGGCTACCAGTCATTCATTTGTTTTTCATCCATAAAACTAATAGATATGCCTAAGCCATCACAAATTCTGCTCTTTCCTATAGGGGGTCATCTAACATGTGGCTTTATTCAGTGTGTAGCAGTGGGGATTGAACCTAGGGCCTCATGCATGCTAGGCAAGCACTCTACCCCTGAGCTACATCCCCAGCCCTATGGGGCCACTTGAAACTTACCTCTGATGTTATTTGTCATGTGAGTCATTTCTGCTTTGAACAGGTCAATTCCATCTTTCAGAGCGTCAGCTTGTGGTTTCCAGGCCATTGTGTCCATCAGTCTGTTCCCCAGAAGGCCAATGGCACGGCAGTTGTAGTTACTGTCACAGTAAATAAAAGCCTCTCCATTCAGTTGGCCTTGGACTGTGTGCTGCCATGGTCCAGACCCTGACTTGTCAACATTGAAGCCGTAGCAAAGAGCAGCATCATCTGTGAAGGAAGCATGCAGTGAGGTCAGGGATGCAGAGCAGGGGCTCAGGGACAGTCCCTGCCTGTGGGACAAGTAAGTCTTTCTGGAATAATGTTGTTAAAAATAATGAAAAATGTAAGTAAATTAATACATAAATAAAATCCCTGACTGAGCTTCCACGGCCCTGAGTAAAGTATGGTCAGTCATTGTCTCTTGCTTGAAATACAGGTCAAGGTGTGGCCAACCCCAGCTCTCCACCAGGACAATTGTCTTATCTGTCATCACAGGGTCTTGCTAGGGCCAGGCCCTGTCAGTTATGGCAGGGAAAGCCCAGGATGTCTTTCCTAGATCTGTGTGTGCTGGAGAATCTCCAGAAGCTGCCATGTAGACTGTGGAGACAGGATGGTGCCTGAGGCTAGTGGGGCAGAGTGGATCAGGGCGAGCATGGGACAGCAGGTGCATGGAGACAGATTTTACTGGTCTGCACTCTCATTTGAACATCCTTGCTGATTAGCTTTAAATGGCAGCCCAAGGTCACCTAAGAAGGGAGTGTCTATTGAGGGACTGTTGTGGTAGGCTATTAGTTTAAGGTGTTGCTTTTGTTTATGCTGCTTTTGTTTAACTCTGTGAAGCTGTGATTCTTTGCCTGTCGAAAAAAAAAACCTGGTGGTCCTAATAAAGAGCTGAATGACCAATAGGAGCAAGGATAGGCGGGGCTGGCAGACCAAGAGTGTAAGTAGAAGGCGAAAGGAGGAAGGAGGAAGGAAGGAACAGCAAGAGAACAAGAAGAGGACATGAGGGGCCAGCCACTTAGCCACCCAGTCACCCAGCCATAACCACAGAGTGAGAAGAAAAGTCAGACATACAGAAGTAAGAACGATAAAAGCCCAGAGGGAAAAGGTAGATGGGTTAACTCAAGAAAAGCTGGCTAGAAATAAGCCAATTAAGGATGGGCATTTATAACTGAGAATAAGCCTCTATGTGTGATTTACTTGGGAACTGGATGGCAGATCCTTCATAAAAGAAAAAGAAAAAATAGGCCAGAACAGGCTGTTTGGACTGTTAGTGATGTAGAAATCCCCAGCCCCTGTGGGCATCACCATTCCCTGAGCAGTGGTCTCTAGAGAAGAAATCTAGCTGTGCAGGAGCTCGTGGTCCAGACAACAGGCAGCATCCTCCATGGCTCCTGCTGTGCCTCTCTGGCTGTGAACTGAGCTCCTTGGTCATGGGCACTGCTGTGTGGAGTGGCAAGTGGGTCTGCCTGTGAGAACCTGCCTGACTTCCCTCAGTGACAGACTGTGGCTTAGAAGCAGAAGCCAAATAAGTCAGTCTCTCCCTTCCCTTGTTTTTGGTAGAGTGTGTTATCACAGCAAGAGAATACACTAGAACAACAGATACTGGATCTCCTAGATGTATCTCAGTGCTGCAGGGATGTCTTCCTGGGAGTGGTCAGAGGACAGCCCACACTACAGGACAAGGAAATCGAGGCTGCTGGAATCTGGCAGTAGAAGAGCGGGGATCACAACTCTCAGAGAAGAGCATGTGTCAGAGTGGACGTGACAGCAAACGTTTCCTGGGCAGTGTGCAGAGTCCATGCTGCTCTGGGGATACTGGGGCTTCCTGCTGAGATGCACAGTGAGGGTGACCAGGGAGAGGTCACCAGCCTTGCTGCAATGCCAGGGATGATGATGGCTCAGGGCTGGGGTGGTGTTAGGAAACTGTAATCCTGAATCCCAGCAAATATGGTTCAGAAAAGTCCCATAGGGTGGAGCGGTCAGGAGGCAGTGACAACAAGGACTGTGGTCCACTGATGAGTATTGTGAACCCACCTTGAAGCCTAAATGCTTAAAGGAGGTCATGGCTAATAGAACACAAGAATCTTAAATATAGAAAGATGTTTAGCCAACCCAGATGTGGCTAGATTTTAATAATTAAACAGAAAACATGATTAGGTAGCTAAAAGCTGTTGTCCTATGAAAATCCCAGGCTATAGAGATATTCCATTTATGATCTAACACATAAAGTTTGCCTGAAGATTCGAGAAAGCTAGCCATACAGTCTAGGCAGTGGTGGCACAACCTTTAATCCCAGCAGCCATACTAATTAGCCATAGAAGCCAGACATGGTGTATGGAGCCTGCCTTTAATCCTAGCGCTTGGGAGGCAGAGGCAGGCAGGATCTCTGAGTTTGAGGCCATCATGGTCTACATAGCAAGTTCCAGGACAGACAAGACTACACATAAGAACTCTGTCTCTAAAGACACACACACACACACACACACACACACACACACACACACACAGTGGGAATATCATGTGCCCGTTGTTGAAACTGAACCACTGGGACTAGAGAGGTGGCCCAGTCACTAAGGGCACTGGTTGCCCTTGCAGAGGACCCAGGTTTGGTTCTCAGCAACCACACATGGTGGCTCACCACTGCCTGTGACTCCATGTCTAGGGAATACAGTGTCCTCTTTTGACCTCTGAGGGTACCTGACACATACGTGGTGCACATACATGTATATGCAGTCAATACATAAAATAAATCTAAAGAAACAATTATAACTGTGACACCTCAAAGACAGACTCAGACCGCCTTCCTAGGAGGACAGATCAGGTCCCAAGACGAGCGACCATTCAGTCCAGCATACGTACAGTAATTCTTTCTGTATTATTTTATTACTGCCCTGTCACTCAGTTATGAGCTCCTAGATGCTACTGTCATTTGAATGAGCCTGTGTATGTTTGAATACTTTGTTGCCATTTGGTGGTAGCTGTTTGGATAGGTTCAGGAAGTATGGCCTGGCTGAAAGAAGCATGTCACTGGGGATTTGGATTTGAAACTCATTCTCATTTCTTCGTCTCTGGACCTTGCTTGAGGTTTAAGGTGTGGGCTCTCAGCTGGGCATGGTGTCACATGGCTCTCATCCCAGCACTTGGGAGGCAGGGGCAGGTTGATCTTTTTGAGTTTGAGGCTGACTTGTTCTACATAATGAGTTCTAGGACAGTTGGAAATACAAAGTGAGAACTTGTCTCAAAAAGCCAAACCAACCCAAACAACATTATTTCTCCGCTTGCCACCTCAACCACCATGCAAGCCTGCTGCCAGGCTTCTCTGCGTGAAATGATGGACTCTTGTCCCTGTGAAACTGTAAGCTTCCCCAAATCCTTCTGCATGTTACAGACTGGTTGTGGGGTTTTCTCTTGGCGATAGAAAAGTAACTAATACATCTACCTGGTCAATAATGAAGGTCTTGCAGGTCAGGCAGTCTCCCTTACACCTGCTCATCTCTGCTCTTCTAGCTTGAAAGTAGCAAGAGACAGTACATCCGAGGAGAGCATTGTTGTGGGATAATCTTTTTGCACACTGTGAAGATGTGTCTTTGCCAAGGCACCTTCTGATTGGTTTAATAAAAAGCTAAGCATCCATTAACTAGGCAGGAGGTATAGGCAGGACAGCTAGACACAGAGGACTCTGGGAAGAAGAAAGGCACGGTCCCTAGGAGATGCCAGCACTCAGAGGAAGCAGCACGGGCAGTACAGAGCAAAGGCAGAAAGCCACAAGGCAGAAAGCCAGTTAATAGAAATGGGTTAATTTAAGATATAGACCTAGTTAGAAACAAGCCTAAGCCATCGACCAAGCTTTGATAATTAAGAAGTTTCACCGTGATTATTTGGGACCATGGCAGGTGGAGCAGACAAATCCAACTATAGAGCATGGCTGGGCATGCCCATAAGGACCTAGGACTTTGGACCCAGTGTTGTCTTAAGCTAATTGATGATAGAATATCCAGTTCAGTCCCAGGGCAACATCATTTCCAGGTAGGGATGCTGAACTTCATGAGACCAGAGCAATTGAAGAGTAAAAGGCAACATGGGTACATTTCTCTCTCTTTGATCTTGATTATAAATGTGATGATTTAAGTTCCTCCTTATTTTCTTTAATAATGGAGCATAATGTAGAATTGGATGCTAAGTCAGCCTTCCCCCTAAAGGTCATGGTGTTTTGTCACAGCAACTGAAATGAAACCAGGCAGAAACTGGTCCCAGAGAAGTGGGGATTTTCTTCCCCTTGATAATCTGGTGTTTTGGGGACCAAGACTTGGGAATTTGGGGCTGGAAACTCTACTGAACACTCTTCTTGGAGTTTAATGGGCCATTCTTGTGGGTCCTTAGAAAATAAGAATTCTGACTAATGTGGATAGCGGAAGGCTAGTTCTAGAGGTTTCTGGGGGAAACAAGGAGAGTTTGAGGCCAGCCTGGTCTACAGAATGAGTTCCAGGACAACTTCCAAAGCTACAGAGAAACCCTGTCTCGGAAAAACAAGAAAACAAAATAACAAAACAAAAATATGGGATGGGTGTTAAGAAATGATTGTTAGTGTGATATTTGGGCTAGGGCTGAGGAATCATCTTTGATTAATAAGAGATCAGCACCCTTGAGGGACAATAGTTGTAGAGAACAAAGAGCCTTGTGTTCACAGACAAGCACTGGAAAAGTTAAACACACAGCTCACCTCTTCAAAGGACCGAGGTGCTGAGCTGCTCTTCCTGGAACACTAGACTGGTGTCATTTTACATCAGTGCTGTCTGATGAGACAGGCTCTGCCTTATCTTCCAGAATTTATGCGTTCACTTATCCAAGACATTCTCCCCTAAATCTTGAGCATTGCTTTTAGACCATAAAACCCACTCGTACGTGTGATGTCACCAGTGCTTTGCAGCAACCTTCTACGATATCTTAGGGCCAGGTCAATACTGACACCCACAGGCATTATGTTTAATTCAGTCAAGCTCCCAAACCCTAAATCTGGGCACTATCTCTGAGTCTGAGTCAACAGTACCCATTCTCATGAAAGAAGTCAGATATACTTTGTAACGAATCTCAGTGCTAACATGTCTTAAACTGTTGTGCAATTGGGACAGAGTTAATTGTTACCTGAATACATTTTTTTTTTCAAAATTGTGCTGTGCTTACATATTGCTAAAGTAAAATGATCTGGGCTAGACTCTAGAAGTCCTGGTCCAGCGCTGGCTAGAATAAAATTGGATTGAGCTATGAGTTTCATTCTTGTCTTGTCCTTTCCGGTGAGCCTGCAGGGGAATCACCACAAAGAGGAAAGTATTTCCCCAGAGTCAGCACATAGAGAACCAGATCAGTGGGGCCAGGTGGCATCTTAACCAAGCAGCTGAATTTGTAGGAGAACGGAGAAGAAAGTTGGGAGCATGCACAAAGCCTGGGTTCGGGAGACTGCTAACTTCCTAGAGGGTTTATACTGTGTGCCCCTCACCCCAGTCACAGCACTCTGTTTATGGATTTCTATCTGCCACCGGGACCTCCTATTTCTTCCGGCCCCGTCTCCCACTCTGCAGTATCTAAAGAGTCCTAGAGCAGGGTGATGAGGTGAACAACAAGCCTGAAGACCCAGAGGAGCCCGAAGAAGTGGTGGGTGACTGGAAAGGGCCGGAAGTGGTTCCAAGGGGAAGACTAGCTCTCCTAGTCACTGCGCCGTCCCCGCGCGCGCGCCCCTCCCAGTTAGATCGCAGGAACTCACCTGAAGCAGGAGGTGCGCATTCATCTTCCTGCAAGACCGAGGCGAGCATAACCAGAGCCAGAAGCCAAAGAAGGACCTTGCTGCCTGTAACCCACTTCATGGATCCTTATTCCTGGCAGCAGCCATGTATTGAGCTAGAGAGAGGGAGGGAGGGGGGAGAGAGAAAGGAGAGAGAGAAGAGAGAGAGGGAGGAGAGAGAGATGAGAAAGAGGAGAGAAGGGGGAGAGAGGGAGGGAGGAAGGGAGGGAGGGGAGAGAGGAGAGAAAGAAGAGAGGAGAAAGAGGAGGAGAGAGGAGAGAGGAAAGGGAGAGGGAGAGAGGGAGAGAGCGCGTGCGTGTACGTGCGCGCGCGCGCGTGAGCGCCTAAGTAATTCATGCAGATATGCAGATGACTGCCGATTTCTAAAACTATTTGGGCTGTGACTTCAAGCATTTTGTCTTTTTTTTTCTGCCCGCTGTCTCCGTTCCTAGTTCCATCTTTTCCTAGAACTTTCTGGGTGTGTGTGATGGGGTGGGGAGCTCCCTCCAGGGTCCCTGGGGCTCTGCCTGCTTCTTTGCAGACTTCGATGGTTCTTTTCTGTCCAACTCTGGCAGCGAACAGAGGTCGCGACGATGAACTGACTGACGCAGGTCTCCGGTGTCCCCCAGGTCCTCCCAGGGCCACAGAGGTCCCTTCCCAGAACTCACCTCCACCTGCCCGGACCGTCACCAGCAGAAGCAGGAGTGAAAGAATGAAGCTAGCGTCTCCCGCTGGGGCCACTTATAGCCTGAGGGAATCAGGTGATGCCTGGGCAGATCCTGCAGGATATCTCCCCCGCCCAATCTGACTCAGTGCCCTCTTCTGTTTTCTTCCTGGTTACAAAGGTTGCCAAGAGCTTTGATTTTCTTCTCACCTCCTCACTCAAACTTGCATATTCACCCTCAGAAGAAAGACAAAAGTCTGGCTTGTTTTATTTCTATTTTTTAAAAACGCCTAGAAGGTCTCTTTCCAATACTGGCCTGTCTGAAATCCACACGAGTAAAGACAGTTACAGCACTGTTGGCACTGCTGCGCACTTCCAGGAAGCTTGGAAATCTAAGACCTTCAGAAAAGTGTGTGAGGGGTCCAGAGATTTCCTTGCATATTATTCCTCAGTTCCCTGGGCTTGGAGCCCAGGAACCTGGCTGCCATCGGTCCCCAGGGACCTGCCTACCTCCCTTCTCTAACACTCACTCCCAAGTGCACGCCACCTCACTGGAAGCTTATAAATTTAATTTAATTTTTGGAATGTGAGTTCCAAGGACCAAGCTCAATTGTCACGCTTGCAAGGCAAACACTTCAATAACTAAACTTCTGCACCCTCTCCCTGTAGTTCCCCCCCCCTTTTTTTTTTAAGATTTCTTCTTCAGTGATTTTTTACAATTTGGTGTCCCTCCAGTTACTCATGCAGCCACTCAGCTAACAGCTAAATAACCTCAAGTTTGAGGCGCGGTCTTGAGTGGGAGTGAAATGTCTACACCTACAGGTGGAATCTGAGAGATCTCAGGTTGTGGTGGGCGGGCCCTGTTCTATAATATTTTTTTCTCATCACCATAGAGGGATTTTCAATCCGACCAAGCGGTCATGGACAGGACAGTGTTCCAGCTCCAGTGGTGGAAACTGGGGCCTGAGATGGTACAGACTAATTACTGTTAGTCACTTGCATAAATTCCTCCAGGAAAGCCTCACTCTTAGACACGTGGGAATTGAGCAGGGCAAGTTTTTAAACTGCCACATGCATTTTAAATGCTTCCATTTTTGAAAGCATTATCTGTGGCCCATACTCACTAAAATCCTCTCTGGGGCTGAGGCCATGACCACCTGGAGGCTGGGGTGAGTCTGACAGTCAGAGGAAAGACAGGGCGTGCAGGAGGCCAAACGTCTCTCATCTGGCTTTGCTTTCCCATTTCTAATGCAGCTCTGTTCTTGTTTCCCCAGGGTCCGGCCTACTTCACAAGCCTCAGGCTTGGATTGCCAAACCCTTTGCCTGGGTGGAAACAGCTTCCTACTGTTACCAGGAGTTCCTTGCCTGGTAGTGAGCTCTGCTGAGCCGAGGCCAGAGTCTTGACTTCACCACAGAAAAGAATTGCAGGATGAGCGAGCCAGCCTGGAGCAGAGTTCGAGTTAATTAAAAGAGAGGCACCTGGGAGGGAAGTCAGAGCTCAGGATATGGGCGCGATGCTCTGAAAATAAAGCCACTTAGTAGGTGCTGCCACTTACACACTTCAACAGGTGCCTAAGGACTTTTTTTTTTTTTTTTTTTGGTAAATGAATTCATGATGTGGTTCTTGGGTTCACTGGATGGAATCCAAGCTGGTTAGTAAAAGCCTAAATCAAAAGATAGGCAGGGTAAGTGCTTTATTTTATTTTTTTCATCTTGCTTGCAAGAGTCCCAGAAATACCAGGAAAGGAATCAGGACATACTGGAAGAGCATATGAGCCCGGGCTTTCAACATGACTAGTTACCATTCTAACGTTTTAATTTGAAAAGATCTCTCAACAAAAGAAACAAAAGAAATTCTGTCAGCAACCTTCACAGCAAGCAGTGGTTGTGATGGGATTCCTGACTCTCAGCTGGTGAGAGGTGCCAAAAACATTCAGGAGACTATTCCCCCCCCCTCTGTCTCTGTGTGCTGCCTGCTCCGGAGCTGCCCCTGCTCAGGGCTGAACCCACAGTCTTACATATAGCAATGTCTTCCCCGCAGACAGATCCCCAGGCAGTCCTGAGCCCTGATTGCCTCACGCTTGAGGGTGGGGGCCATGCGTTTCCTGCCATTCCCTATCACAGCCTCCAGATGGCCCTCCTGGATAGAGATCAGGCAGAACCCTCTGTGCTTGGAGTCTAAGGGGTTCAGTGTGCAGCTGTTTCCCGTTCTTGGCCCTAAGTAGAGGCAGGCCCTGGGCTCACAGTACAGGCCTTCCTTCCTTTCTTCCCCAGAGGCCAAGGACTGGGACTTGTGGTTGGCAGGTACGGATCCTCCCTTTGTAGAGACTGTGTGAAGAGAGAGTGTGTGTGTGTGTGTGGGGGTGTGCTTTGAGGGGCTGAGGAGGGTGGGAGTCTAGCCTACTTTTCTCAACTAATGGGGAAATGACTCAGTAGGTGGGCACACAGTAGTTCTCAGGTGTTCTTCCAAGTCCTCAATTCAGGTTAAGATTTCCCAGAATGCAGAGGTCACTAAGCCATGTATTCTTTAAGTTTCTCCCACTTCCTGTGTGGTGGCTGACACAGGACACACTTGTCATCCTTTGGAGGATGGCAGCAGTGACCACAGAAGTGAACTGAATGGTTCCACATCTCAGCTGTCGTGAGTATTGCATCAATAAACATGGATGTGCAAACATCTCTGTGGCAGGACTTTGATAATTTGGATGCCTGCCCATGAGGTACCTGGTTGTATTTTTCGTTTCTTGAGAAACCTCCATATTGCTTTCCATAGCGGCTGCGTGTGTGTGTGTGTGTGTGTGTGTGTGTGTGTGTGTCTGTGTGTGTGTCTGTGTTTGTGTGTGTGTTGTAGTTCTGTATACACTCAGACTTCAGCCCCTTGTCTGTATTGTGTTTGGCAAGATCCCCCTGTTCTGTGGTTTTCTCTACATTCTGCTGGCTTCCTTTGCTGTGCAGAAGCATATTAATTTCAAGCAACCTCATTGTGTCATTCCTACATAGGGAATATACCTTAGGAAATACTTATTTCCTGTGGCACATGAAAACTTTCATAAACACCTTGTATCTGCCTGTATCTTGTTCTAAGTCCCCCCAGCAGTTTCAAAGTATCAGGTGTTATCGTAAGGTCTTTGGTCCATTTCTAATTGATTTCCATGCAGTGTGAGAGATTCTGTCCTTTGTCTTAATGTGTAGAGTCTCTTTATCAGCCCCTATGTGGCATATAACATGGGCAAGCATACCTTCTGTTTAGGTAGAAGCCCTGATGGTGCCCTATACCCAAGGAGTCTGGGGTGACTAGTGGAAGCCCCACATCTCTGTCTCCCCAGACCACATCCCCTTCCTCCCTCAGAAAGCCCTCCAAGGAGCAGCCCCCCCCTCAGAGAGCCCTGCAAGTGTCAGCCCCTCCCTGGCTGCTGGAGACCATGCTTACAGGCTACTTAAGAGGGAGCAAGGTACCTGCTACATGCTCTCAAGTTCTCTCCCCTGCCTTCCCGAGAGAGAGCTCACATTAGCCCTGGATTTATAAATTTGGCTTGATTGCCTTATTACATCGGTGGTGGAGGATTCCCAATAACTGGGGGATCCAAAACTTGTCACCTCCTTAAGAATAAGTTCTAAAAACTGTTAATATATAAAAGAATATTACTTTATTTATTTTTAAGTGACAGATGTAACCCTTTATACTGTTATTAAAGTTTTCCCCCCCAGTCTTGTGTGTATGGGGGGAGGCAGCCCTATGTGAAATGTGACAATTTCCCACTGTAACTGTTTTTGAAGCATACAGTAATAAATAAAATACTGTGTGGTACTTATTTCTGCAATAAAACAGCTCGTCCTGTTGATATACCATGTAGTAGTTACATTTCTAGCAACTAAGGGTGGTGGGGTTGATTTTGCCTCCCCCGTCAAGGGTACAGTCCGCCAGGCTGGGTGTCACGGGGCAAGTACGGACAAACTTTCTCATCCGTACCGCCAGCTCATGAATAACGGCACCTATTGCTAATTATGAAAGCTGGGTCTATAGCTCAGGCTTGTCCCTAACTAGTTCTTGTAACTTAAATATTTTTAATCTACATTCTTGGACGTGGCTCGGTTACCTTTAACTCTGTGCAGCCCATCCTGCTTCCCCCGAGTCTGGCTGCCGTCTCCACCTTTCTTCCTGTCTGTCCCCAGGCCATTAGCTCTTTATTAAATCAATCACAACGACACAGCCAAGAACCAGGGTGGCTGCGGACATCACACCCATCGCTGGGAACTGGAGACAGAGAAATGCCAGTGCTTGGCTTTGATTTTGCTTTTTATCAGTCTGGGATCCCAGCCCAGGAGAGGTGCTTCAGGCATTTAGGGTGAATCACCTCACTTGATCTACTCCTGCACAGACATGCCTAGAGAGGCATCTTCTAGATGACTCTTCGATTGGGAAGATGACCCATCACAAACTAAGAACCTTCTTAATTTTTTACCTCTTTACTTTCATCTTAAGAGTGTCTTGAAGACCATGTTTTGTTAAATTAGTGTTTTAAAGGCTCAACCTAAGAATTTAAGTTATTATAAATCGATGGATGTCATAATTCATATTTATTGTGATCACTAAAATGTTTGTCCCTGTCACATCATCATCTCCTTATTGTGCACTTGGGGGTTTATTTCTCTATCTCTGGGCTCTGTTTCTATGCTGAATTTGTTTTGCTTGAAATGTTACCCATTCTATTTTGTTCTCATGATGGTTGTGACTGACCTATGACCCAGACAAACGTTGGTTCACATTATTATTTTTGCTTTACATTCGATTTTAAAAAGTACATTGTAACATGTAGTCTTTCTGCCAGCTGTCTGGGTCCCAAGCTGTCTCAGCCCCCAAATAACACACGAAACGCCATATTAATTAGGAAGCTGTTGGCTGTTTGTTTGGTTTCTTATTGGCTATCTCTGATTTAATTATTAATCCATAATTGCTAACTTGAATATTTCCACGTGGTCTTCTTTTACCGGTGAAAAGGGTCTGGACCTCTTCTCCCGTGTCCTATATCCTGACTGACTGTATCTCTGTTTCCCAGAATCCTCCTCAACTCCTAGTCCCACCTATCTTGTTTCCTTATTGGCCAATGGCGCTTTATTTAATCAACCAATAAGACAACATATACACAGTACTTCCCCCATAGTACATAGCTCATTTTCATATCCTTTTTGTGTGCTGTCTCCAGACCCACTTTCCTGTTGAATTATATAATTTGGTTAACTGTCATCTTATTTTCTGTTATTTTAGTGTGATCCTCCTCTCTCCCATTTTGGTGCACAATTGAAACTCTGAATAAATTAATTGGTTATTCATGTTGCTTGACTCCTGTCACATCTTTTTTTTTTTTGCTTTGTTTTGTTTTGTATTAGTGTACTTCCTACAGAACAATGTTTTCAAATTGTATCTTTATTGGAAAAATATATTTTAAGCACTCAATGTTATATATCTGTGCATATGTATCATAAAATATGTATTTTTAAATTTGCATTTGTCCTTTTGAGACAAAAAACAAACACCTGCCTCAGTCTTACAAGTACTGGGATTACAGGAGTGGGTCACTATCTTAGCTTGGTTTCCTGTTGCTGTGAAGAGTGACCACAGTAACTATAAAGGAAAACATTTAACTGGGTGGCTTACAGTTTCGAAGGATTTAGTCCATTATCATCACATTGCAACATGATGGTGTGCAGGCAGACATAATGCTGGAGAAGTATCTGAGAATCCTACATCTTGATCCACAGGCAACAGGAAGTGGTCTGAACGCTGGATGTGACTTGAGCGTATATGAGACCTCAAAGTCCACCCCCATGGGCACACACTTCCTCCAACAAAACTCTATCTACTTCAACAAAGCCGCGCCTCCTAATAGTGCCACTCCCTTTGGGAGAGCATTTTCTCTCAAACCACCATGGTCACCACATCCAACTTCAAAATATCTTAAATTTATTTTAGCAGGTAAATTCTGAAGCTCGTTTCTCAAATGTCTGTCCTTTGGTTATTTTATCAAACTTAGGTACTTTTGTGTGTCAACTTGACACAAGCTGCAGTCATCAGAGGAAGAAGCCTCAGCTGAGGAAATGCCTCCATGAGATCCAGCTGTAAGGCATTTTCTCATTTAGTGATCAATGGGGGAGGGCCCAGACCATGGTGGGTGGTGAAACACCTGGGCTGGTGGTTCTGGGAAGAGTGGATAGAGAAAATGTGGTACATTTACACAATGGAGTACTACTCAGCAGAAAAAAACAATGGAATCCTGAGATTTGCAGGCAAATGGATGGCACTAGAAGAAACCATCCTGAGTGAGGTAACGCAGTCACAAAAAGAGAAACATGGCATGTGCTCTCTCATATATGGATTTTAGACATAGATCTGGGGAGTGCCAGCCTACAATCCCATGGCCAGAGAGTCTGGGAAACAGAACCTTCATTCAGTGGCTGATGGAAGAAGAGGCAGACTACCACGGCTAAGCACTGAGCTGAACTCAAGAAAGCCAGTAACAGAGAGGGAGGTCTGATGACCAAAGGGATTAAGACTGGGCTGGTTTAACCCCCAGAAACAGCTGACCTGACAAGGGTTAGCTCTTGAATCCCAGGCTGATGCCTGGGAATCCAGCATGGGACTGATCAAGACCCCCTGAATGTGGGTGTCAGTGAGGAAGCCTAGGTAATCTATTGAGCCTTGAGCAGTAGATCAGTATTTATCCCGGGTATACAAATGGACTTTGGACTCCCATCCAACAATAAGAGATGCTCTCTCACCCTGAACTCTTGGGGGAGGGTCTTGGGATGAAATGACAGACTATAGACACCCCCATGGAGGGCCTCACCCTCCCTGGTGAAATGAGGGGATATTGGGGGGGTTGGAGGGAGGGCACGGGAGGAGGGGAGGGAAAGGGAGAGGGACCTGGAATTGACATGTGAAGCAACCTTGTTTCTAATTTAAATTTAAAAATAAATAATAAAAAAAGAAAATGAAAAAAGAAAAAAAAGCAGGCTGAGCAAGCTACATTGGGGCAGAAAAGGGTTTATTCGGCTTATAACCCATATTGCTGTTCATCACTGAATAATGCTGCAACGATGAACAGCACACTTGTTGAGGGTATAAATAACTGTTTATTGTAGAAATTACTCACAAGAGAAAACAGGCAACGCAGATGAGTCAAGTCTTTCGCTACCAAACCGAAAGTCGAAAAGAGAGCCGGCAGCTCTGCTGTTTAATTTTTTTTCATTCCTCTGTACACGCCCTTAGCCACGCCCAAAAGTGGGCCTGGCTAGTGGCATAGTTCTGCTGCCCTGTCTCTAGTCATGCCCAAAGTGGGTGTGGTTAGCGGCGCGGTTCCCTTTCGTTACCATCCGCATCTTTAAAGCGCCACGTGGCTAATGGTGGAGTCCTAAGTTTCCCCCTACAACTGAAGGAAGTCAGGACAGGAATTCAAGCAGCACTGGAACCTGGAGGCAGGAGCTGTGGCAGAGGCCATGAAGGGTGCTGCTTACTGGCTTGCTCTCGTGCTGTTGGAGAACTTGGTTTCAGGCTTTACAAAATCACTGGACTGAGGCTATAGTTGAGCAGTGGGCTAAGCCCCTGAACTGTAAGCCTGCCCCAATTAAATGCTTTCCTTTATAAGAGTTGTGGCCGTGGTGCCTCTTCACAGCCATAAGAACAGTGACTCAGATGTGTGGTTACATCTCTGTTAATTGATCTTTTCTCTGTTTAACTGCCACTCACAGTCTCATGGAGGTAGAGGTAGGTTTAATTACCCTCCCCCATTTTCATAGTCCGAACTTGTAAGTGTGGCTGATTCTTTTTCTTTAATTCAGCTACTCCTCATCTCTTGTTGCCCTGTGTTTTATAAAGCTTGAACTTAGTGAGATTATAATGTGCAGACAATACTTTAAATATATTTAGTTTGAGGGATCATCACTAGAAACATGGAGCTAGGTGTGGTCTTATACTTCTGTGATCTAAGCCCTGGAAGGGGTGGCTAAGGCAGAAGGATCATGAGTTCAAAGTCAGCCTGGGCTACATTGTGAGGTCTTATCCTGTTCCAATTAATTAATAAATAGCACAATCTTTAAAAGTAATAAATGGCAGCAGGGCATGGTGGTGCATGCCTTTAATCCCAGCACTTGAGAGGCAGAGGCACGTGGATCTCAGTGAATTCAAGGCCAGTCTGGTCTACATAATGAGTTCTAGGACAGCCAGGGCTATAAAGAGAGACCCTGCCTCAAAAAACAAAAGCAAAAATAATAAACAAAGCAGAAGAACGGCATTACTTCAGCCATAAGCTACCTACCAACCTGTGAGTTCTGTAGAGATTTCTATTTCCAAGTTGTACCATCTCTAGGTATGCAGTGGAGAAACTGTATTTTTGGTGAGCATGCTTTAAATTTTATACAAAATGAATTCTATAACGACACCAACTTCCCTTGTACTCCTTATCCTTTCTGTAGTTTACAAATCTCATGAAGCCAGCTCCTGTGATCCTAGATTGAAAATTATGATAGATAAATAAACCATCCAGTCCCTTTCATACATTGGACATACATGTTAATTTTAGGCTTTAAAAATCATTGTACTGGGGCTATAGTTCAACGGCAGAGCACTTGTCTAGCATGCTTAAGTCCCTGGGTTCAATCCCGGCTCCATAAACACAAACAAAGAAAGGAAGACAATCGTTTTGCAGAGCAGCCCCCTTTAAAAACTGCTCTCAGCTGAACTAGTCAGATGTTATGAGACATTTTTATGATTCTAGCAGAAGCTTAATGAATAATTTTAAATAGATTTGAATACTTAATATGCCTAATCCGTGTGAATTATAGTAACACTTTGCCTTTTGGGGGAAGTCACTGATTTTGATGCTAATATGCAGTAAGTACACCACCTTAGGAACCCATGCAGAGAGTCAGGAGAATTGTACTTTTAAAAGCACAAACCCTTATTACTAGAATCACCTCATGGGACGGCTGGCTGTTTGCTTGCCATGGGAGCATTTTTCTGCTTAGAAACGACATAATTGACTGTTCTGCTCTAGCCGGCAGACGCCACGTGACCTAGCAACAGCGGAGGAAGAAAGCCAGGAGATTTCTGCTAGAAATAAACTTCAAATCTTTTTTTTCCTAAAACATGTTGATGAAGACGTCCCTTCCTCCCAGCAAACTAAGAAGCAAGTCACAATGACAAACAACGTACCTTCTCTTGCCTTGCGTGGCCTGGATGATAATTTCACATGGAGTGGATCCATTTATCTGAGAGTGTATGACCACAAAAGCTAGCAATGTACTTTTTAATGCCATTGCTTTGCCTGAGAAGCAGGCATGTGGTGATTGTTTAACTTGACCTGTATTTAGCTAAGAAGTTGATGACTTTTATTTTCCTTTCTTTTACATTTTTTTTGTGTACTGTGAGGTATTTTCTTTAATATTTTTCTCTCACACAATGGTGAATGCTTTAAAAATGACTCCTAGAAAATGCCAAGAGACCTGAGACCAGCCCTCTCCCTCCTTCAGATCTGTTTCTCCTTTGTTTAATATCCAATGTCAATTTGGCAGGCTCCTCTATGTTCAGGTCTCTCAGCGTTCCTTGCCTGGCTTCTACAAGCCTCTCTGGTGCCTGAGAATTTTCCCACAATGGCCAATTATCTTCTCCCTGAGTGTTCTATCGGGAGAGTGGTCCAGCCCAGGGGTGGGGTGCTGCGCAAGTGGCGTCACAGAGGCTGGTGGCATCTCTGGTTGCTAAATACTCCTCCTGCCCGAAGGTGGGCCCTTCCCCGTGTCCAGAGAAGGGCTTGGCATCTGCACAGAAATTTCCCTGTAGAAACTGGTTCCAACCAGATGTTCCACTCCCTGAGCGCCGCATGGGTCCTGTTTCTAAGTTTCTTTCCCATAGCCCAGCGACAGGGCGACCAGTTTCAGTGTGTTGTCTGTCCAGTGACTCCTCAGTTTCCCAAGAGTGGGCCACAGAGACTGCAATGGCATCTGGCTCCCATGAAGTGGAAGGTACTAACCACACGGCACCAAGGAGAGAGGCTTTTCCCGAGCGTCTATCTTTCTCTTTGGGGGCTACTGCTGCCTAGGGTACAGCATTTTTTTTTCAGTTCTTTAGAATGTCTGTTATTGAAAAAGTGCAGATTTTCTAAGCTTCTGTTTCTTGCAGTCTGTAGTAACAGTTCCCTCTTAGTGAGAACAGGATGCTTCCTCAAATGAACCAGTCTCTTGGAGGCCTGTTATAAAGTATTTTTCCCTGTTTTGTCAAATTAATTCTCTCTCTCTCTCTCTCTCTCTCTCTCTCTCTCTCTCTCTCTCTCTCTCTCTCTCTCT